ATAATCATGATCTGTTCACATTCTGTTTTCAAACAGATATATATATTTGGTTACTTCTGAATCATTGTGTATATGTGCATGAGGACCGAGAGAATGTCTCATCTGCTGTCTACAAGACGTAAAGTTTCTGCTAGAAAATCTTGGCTCTTTTCATGGCCCAAAAAATATCTTTTATAAGCCATTGTTAATGTATGGTATCAGTACAAAAATTAGTTTCATGCTTATTAATATTAAAGCCATTAGAAAGAGAAAATTAATGACTTTATTCTTAAAGACATTCAAGGTCACATTTCATGTATAAATAAGTTTAAGACAGTGTATCATTAAGAACTGACAGTGGATTCATAAAAATCAAACAAAAATTGTAATTAGAAATCAGCAATTGAAAATACCTTCATTGCATTTCATTTTATTTCGTTTCATTTCAATATGATTTATTTATTTCTAAGCATGCATTTGTCATATCAAACGCCCTAAAATAAGAAAAATGATATTCAAGATTCTTATAAAACATTGTATTAAAAAAGTAACATGTATTTCCATTTGTTATTTCCTATTGCATTTGATATTTAAATTCTTGAAAGTTTTACACTTATTTTGTTTATTTCAGGAAAGAATCCGATTAAAGTACAAGATAACCTACAGCTTGGACAGTGAAAGCCGCTCAGATGTTGGAGAAGTGGACAATTTCGTGTTTTCATAGCTCTATCAACTTATTTTTTATTTATTTGTCAGTAGAACAACTGGGCATGTGCAAATGAGATGAATGTAGATATCAAAGTATGAATGGTCATTAATTATAAATTTTGACTTTAAAAGTCTATAAATATTGGTGATTTCACCCCTAGTTATCTGTACATTACTTATAAGGAAAAAAAATCACAATTGAATGTGGTCTGCTTTACATATATGCGAATTTTCTTTTGTCTCTCACTCGTTTCCTCTATTTATTCTGTCTTTAATGTTTTCAAGTTTTGTGAAGTATATAGTGCAATAAACACTTGAGCTCAGCTAGACCTGTTTGCTTAATAACTTTTTTCAATAAATACTACTTACATTTCCAATAATATTTGTTTTAGCTATGCAAGTCTTGAATTATTTTTTTCTTGTTGGTTAAGGTAGACACATATATATTTTTTCGTTGTTGAAAAGTAAAAAAAAGATTAAAAAAAGAAAGCAATTTCTCCTTTTAATTAGAACAAAGTGGACGCTGGTATTTTAGTATGTAAGTTTTATGGTGTATCTTGTGATATTGTGCTGTGATATACAATGTAATAATGCCATAACTTTTACTTTAATACTTAAGAGCTGATAATTAAATACTCACAGCATAGACAAGTGCTGTTCATTTACATGAAGGGGACATTATTGAAATAAAGTTAGAAAAGGAATTTTATCTTGTTTTATTTTTAATGCCACAATATTTTGATTAAAACTTCATTATTTCACTTGGATTTATTGATGTTATAATATAAATCAATATCTTTATCTAGTTTCAGCCATTATCTTTCTTTGCACCCTATAAGGTCACTGTTGCAGAATATTTTTTACATAAGACCTATTGCTTTCAACTGGCACCCATCCTCATCAACCTACAACAAATCTTTACCCATTATGTTTTTGGCAATAACATTGAAACTTATAATAAACAGAGAGAAACTGTAACCAGAAAGTTGAAGCTACAAAGAGCCTGTATTGCCGACATGGCATTTTTGCATAAAATTGATACAATGCAATAAGATGGTTTTTGATAGTTTGCAGCAATAATGTAAAGAAAATGGGTGAAAATCATCTTTCAAGGGCAATAACTCCTGTAAGGATTTGACTGATGGTTATGGTCAAATTGTTTTATAATGTCTCCCCTTAGATGAAGGGTGACATTATGTTTTAGTAGTGTTTCTTCTTCTGGTTCTCGTGCAACCCTGTCCTGGAACATAACCATAGTGTAGAACACCACATGCAGGGTGTCGGCTATGCATGACAGTGTGGCAGCTTTGAAGAGAACAATTGAGGTAAATGATAGTGTAGAATTTTCTTTATTGGTAATTGTTAGTGATGAATCCTATACAGCACTTAGGTACAGATCTAGTGTGGTCAAGTTAGATTCAGAGACGATTTTTATATCCGTACTCCATGGTAAGAAGTAGGGGGTTTATAGCTTTAGACCTGTGTGTCTTTTGGTTTCTGGATGATAACTCAAATAATTTATATTAAATTGCAACCGTACTTGGAAATATAATAAGGAAGATCCATATTGATTTTGAGGTGGTCACTTATAACAGTCGAGGTTGTGGTTACTAAAAATGGATCAACATTTGTGAAGGAAAGTTGTTTCCCCATGATTAATCAAATACTGAATATGGGATTGCCACCATAATCATATACACAGTCACATATATTTAGTTGAAGATGCCAATTGATATTGAGGTCAATACCTCAAAGCTAAAGTCAAGTTACTAATAATAGACTAAAATTTGCGCAAAAAAGTGGTTTCCAGATGCTAAATCAAATACTACATATAGGAGTAAAACTAATTGAAAATAGGGTCACATATAATTAAAGAAAGATCCTGATTGATTTTTATGTCACTTTGTTGAAAGCCAAGGTCATGGTTACTACAAGTAGAACACAATTTGTGATACTTTAAATTCAGAAATTATTGCATGCATTTATTATTGCGATTTATGAAGAATGGACAATAATGCGAGATTAATTATTGCAATTTAAGGAAATTCTGCATACAGATGCATATATCAGATATCAGAAAGAGAGTTCTAATTAATGCGATACTAACCCAGTCGCACTATTCGCATTAATAAAAACCCTCGCAATAATTTCTGAATTTACAGTTCAGATGCTAGATCATATACTTCTTATTGGATTGCAATATATGGTCACATATAATGTGAGGAAGATCCCTATAGATTTTAAGATTGCTATATCTAGGGTCAAGGTTAAAGTAACTAAAAATAGACCAAATTATGTGCAGAAAAGTGGTTTCAGGATGCTTCATCAAATACTACATATGGGACTGCACCACTATGATGTCATCACATTTAATAAGAGGAAGATCCCTATTGATTTACAAGTCACTTGGTCTGATGTTAAGGTCATATTTACCCCAGAATTGTGTAAGACGATAATACTTCTTAGTAAATAGGAAAACTATGCCATCAAGTCTCTGTAAGCTTTCCCCCTTTATATCGGGCCATAGGGTATTAGAGCTTGCTCACTAAAGGTTCTTTAATCGGGTAAAAGTTAACTAGTGATTAGAAAAGCTCACTTGGCAGGTGAACTAAAAATGATCAGCAAACAAATTAGTCTGCATTACAAAATTATCTATTGACATCTTATAGTTATTTTCTTTGAAAGACAATTTTCACTTTTGGCTATTTCATTGAAAAAATTAATAGAGAGAAGCTTTAAACAGCAAAAAAAAAGAATAACATCTTCAAATCAGTCAACGCATTCTAATTGGTCAAATGACAATGTTAAACAATTTTTTTGATTTTTGGAAATTTTCTTGAAAACTATAATAGATAGAGAGTAACTGCAAGCAGCATTAATAATCAGCAAGTTAAGATCTACAAATAAGTCAAACATAACAGAAATTGTCTATAGACTCTTTAAGGGATTTTTTTATGTTAAATAATGCTTTTTACCCTGCAGAAATTACTAGAAAGAAAAGATCTACAAATAAATACAAAATAGAGGAAATTGTTGATTGAAAGGAGTAGTTGTCCTTAAATAACTATTTTTCCTGAACTTTGCATTATTTGCAAATATTTTTAAAACTATAGTAGACAGAGGGAAACAATAATCTTTGAAGGCAAAAAAAGATCATCAAGATTAAATCTAAAAACAAATGAACATGAACAAAATCATCAATTGACTCCTTACATTACTAGTTATCCAGTTAACACTATAGTAAAATCTTTATTGATTTTATTTATACTTAGATTGATTTTGTTTTGGAAACTTTCAAACATATGCTATAGACATGTATGTACAGTTGAATACCTATGATCCTATATCCAGTCAATACTGTTTACTTATACTTTGGCATTGCACAAGGTCATGCGATTTTCAGACTGTTTATGACGTCTTTGGAATAAATCTGTTGGATGTGTACTGATTGATACTTTAGTCTGGGAGAACATGATTTATTTAATATTTGTAATTGGCATTGAACTAGCCTTCAGTAACTGTGAGTACTCTTATATCAGTGCTTTGTAACTATTGTTTTTATGTTAATTGTTTTGTTGTGCTTTGTACAGATCTATTGATTTAAGCCAATTGTCACTGATTTTTAGTTTGTTCTTATGTTGACGTGTTACACATTGTTCCAGAAAAGGGGAGGTTTGAGTGCTCACAAACATGTTTTACCAACCACATCTTTGTGTGCCTGACCCAAGTCAGGAGCCAGTAATTCAGTGGTTGTCATCGGTTCATGACTGTAATAGTTGTTTTTTCCTAAACTGAAATGTTATAAATAAGGCCATTAGTTTTCTAGTTTGAAAAGGTTTCACATTTTTCATTTCTAGCCTTTTATAGCTGACTATATGGTATAGGTTTTTCTCATAGTTGAAGAGAGTTCATTTGTTGTTAAACAAATCAAGCAGCTAATAATTGTAACAGGATGACAATTAGGCTAAGAAATAAGACGGAAGACTCCAACTGATTTTCTGAAGTCATACATAAATTTGATGCCAAGGTTTCAGAATTCATTCTTTACAAAAATTGTTGCATTCAAAAGAAGAAATATACAAAAAATACATTCATTTAAGTTTGTGAATTTAATTTTCAGTTTCTATTTAAAATACTTTATTCAGATTTGAGAAAATACTCATTAGTAAACATGTCAGTCAGTATGCTAATCCAAGTGACTTTGTCCTTTCACAATATCAATGGGTCATATATTTTCTTTTTCAAGTTGCAGTTTGTAAAATATTCTATCTCAAACTGATAATTTGATGAAAAATTTTAGAACACTACTAGAGAAATGTTGTTAATTTTATTTAATACAATAAAAACAGTATAAAAATATATATTAATAACAATATTTAATAACAAAATTTTGCAATTAAAGAATAACAAATCACTTCATATAAAACAATCATTAAAATTATTGCACTATCCAATACTTTACATTATAGACTGTTCAGCCTTAGCTGAAAATAAGTATGTCAAACTGTATTTCTTTATTTTATTGTTCACCCTTATTATTCTGTACTGATAATTTGGTAAACTCCACGGAGTATGGTAGGTAGACTGGAACTGTCCTGATGCCATCTGAAAAAAGATTCTTTAAATAAATATAAAAGTAGATAACAAATTTCATAGAAATTCTACAAAGAAAATAAATATTCTTGAACACTCTTATAATTATCATTTTCTATGACAGTTTCTGGATAATAGTCAATTGCTTTGTAAAGGAATTTTAATTTGCAATTAACTGAATTAAAGCTCACTTGACAGAAAGTATATAGTTATTTTTGAAAGCAATATTGGTTATTTCAGAACTTACCTTCCTGTGAATATATCACTGGATGGGTTCAAAGCAGTAGCAGCAAAACTGTAAAAATAAAATAACAATTTGAACAAACTTTTTGAGTTTATCTTTGTGCCAATCAAAGCTATAAAAGTTATACCTTACTCTGATAAAAAAGGAATATTTTGCTTACTTATATTCTTACATTGGTAGCTTCATTCCCCTATCCAATCTCACATTTTCCTAAGCAACTATGAATCACAGCCTTTAATACTTGGTATCTATCGTGTTTTATCTGGGTAAGCTCAACAATAAAACTTTGCTTAATGAAACTAGAAAGGAAATCTGATTGAAAAACTTCTAAGTAATTACAAAGTCATGTAAACACATTAAAATTACAAAATTTGAATAAGTTTGCATCTTATTTGGATAAAAAAATGACTGTAGATTTCTTTTTGGGTGTTATGCTGTAAAATGTTAAATAGTTTGAGATTAAAAAAAATTCGTCTGGATTCATGAACATACCCAATGATAATTATACCTGAAACATGTGTCATGTGCACACATTTTCTGTATCAAATATATTTTCTGTTTATTACAAAAAACAACTTGTACAAACAGTATATTAAAACTACTGTTGCCAATAATACAGTAGGAATATTGTATCTATTATAAGTATACTTATTTCACATTCTTTTTTTTTTGCAAAAGGTTTTATTACCTTTACAAGTTGAAACTTGGTACATGTAATAGTAAATTCAACTTCAAAGTCGTCAAGACATAACAGTAAGGCCAATTACGAAATTTAAAACTTACTTGGGAACTTTAAGAATATTGGTCAGCTCTTGTGCTCTGTTAATAATGGTTTCTTGTGAATCAGTATCTAAATATCCTTGTTCCTGTTGTCTTGCTACCTTAGTACAACACAGAATGGCTCTTGGTATTAAATCTTGACACCTTGTGGATAGCTAAAACAAAACACAGGTATATGATTGATCTTTATCTGTATTTCTGAAGAATAAAATGAGTAGCATACTTCTTAACACTTTTAAAATGTTATAAATATGACAGGGGAAACTGACCTAACTTCTCTGAAATGGCAAATGATTCAGCAAATTTGATAAATATACTGAAAGTAGGAATTTTTTACATGTGTCGACAGAAAAACCTCATCAAAATCATAAAATAAACAAATTATCAGTTTGAATATTACAATCCTTTTTAGATGTAAAAATAATTCATAGAAATTACCAAAGATACATCATTACACGTTTTTGAAATGGTTGAACTGATAATTATTTCCATACCTTTGCCAAAGTAGACATCAGCATACATGTAATTTTAGCATGTGATACTGATGATGTCGTTGTTGATGCTATCATCCCAGACAATTCATAAGTCAGAGCTTCTAAAACTTCAAAGAATCTCCTAATATTCTCTGTAGTACATCGTTCATCATTTGTTGTAGAACAATATTCACCAACACCCCATACCTAGAAAATAAAATGGCATCAACTGAATTCCATTGTATGCTTAACTCAAAGATTTGTTTTATATTTTCAGCTTAACTGAAAATATTTAGTAAATCAAAATAATATGGGTTTGGAAATATTGATGAAACACTAATTTTTGTTGGCATTTAGATAAAAAAAATCTATTTTATCTGAATTTTTTACAGGGGAATTGGGTTCTTTTCAGTAATTGGACAAATTTTTCCCTTAGATTAATCCTTATTGTTGGAGAAACATAAAATTTTTCAGCATCAAGGAGCAGGCATTTAGCTTTAATGAGATGGGGGGATGGACTTTTTTCCTCTTTATAAGCTGCTGCTTTAATTTATTCCAGCCAGATTCAGTGAAAGATAGAACTGAAAAAAAACAAGTTAGATTGTTAAGTTAGAAAATGTTGCTAGTATCTCATCACTTTATGTTTCAGACACTGAAATATCTAGCCTGCTTTAATGACCATGATTGAATTTATATTTGAAGTCTTAAAGATGAAAGTTTTACTACAAGTATCACATAAACTAAACATTAACAATGATTCATGTAAATGATTGATTGATTGTTAGTTTTTAATGCCACTATCATCACTATTGACTATATGGTGACAGTCAATTATTATTGGTGGAGGAAACCAGAGTGCCCAGAGAGAACCACCAACCTTTCGGCAGGAAAACTGACAATCAAAGTCAATTAAGATTGGAGTTGAACACACCTGCCACATTTGGGTTCAAAATCAAAACCATGAGCGAACTACTTATACCATTCTGCCACCATGAAAACTTAACATTGACCAAAGAACCATGAAATGAAGTAAAGTTCGTACAAGCCTACCAGGCAAAATGTTCACCTTACAATTATTCCATACACCAAATATAAATGACCTATTGCTTATAGTATCTGAGAAATGGACCAAACTAAGAATACTCAACCATAAAAATAAGGTCAAGGTCAGAGGAAATCTGCCAGGCAGACATAGACATGTTCATCTTACAATCATTCCATACACCAAATATAGTCGACCCATTGCTTAAAGTATCAGAGAAACAGACCTTATCATGAAAAACTTAACATTGACCAATGAATAAGGAAAATGAGGACAAGGTCAGATGAAACCTGCCAGACGGACATGTAGGCTTTGCAAGGATCTCATATATCAAATAAATATATCCTATTACTCATAATAAGTGAGAAATTCACATGACAAAAAAACTATACAGTAACCATGAAAATGAGGTCAAGGATAATAGATCCAGGTCGTCTACATCCTGAAATATAAAGCTTTATACAAATAGTTAATGCCAGTGAAGCCAGATTTGCACCCTATGTTTTCAATTCTGCTATAACATCGCAGGCGAGGCAAAAACCTTACATGAAATTAGGTTGAAGCACAATAACAATAACGGTTCATAAATCAGTTCAATACCTGGGAGGATTATCTAGAAAGTAGGAAGAATTTGAGGACAAAGGTAAAACTAATAGCCTCTACCACTATATGGAACTTAGGTGTTCTGTTAGCAATATATCATGCAATTTTGATGTATTCTATAAAATTGTACATACAAATCTTAAAACCAAATTTATATTTACAAACCATATTAGCAAAGAAGTCCTCTCTATTGGTAATATTAGCTGGTGTCATGAGGAAATCTAAGATGTCTGATTGTTGATCAAGGAGTATTGTAGGATGTTTCTTCAACAACTTTACAAAATACTGGGAAATTAATCTGAAATTTTAAAAATTCAATTTATCAGAAACAGTAACTGAAAACTACTAGTAATGCATTCGGTCATACTATTTTATCATCTACACATGTTGAGGTAAACAATTTTTAGATCATTTCCTTATCATTAAGAAAATAATTCTGTTGCATTTAAGTTTTATGAGGCTTTTGTAGCTGAATAAACTAGATATCATTGAGATGGGAGCCATCTCTGTGGGCCCTGCTGTGAATAATGTGTGGTAAAAAATTTGTATCTTTATCATTGGACATGGGGTTGTCAACTGAAACCAAAGTTTTTGACCTTGAACTTTGACCTAGGAAGTTGTACATAAATTATGACACACCCTCTGGTGTTGGTTTATATACATGTCGAGTATAAACTTTGAAACCATAACAGTTTTCAAGATATAGAGCGGGCACAATCTTTACCATAGGACATGGGGTTGTCAACTAAAACCAAAGTTTTTGACCTTGACCTTTGACCTAGGAAGTTGTACATACATTATGACACACCCTCTGGTGTTGGTTAATATACATGACAAGTATAAACTTTGAAATCATAACGGTTCTCTAGATATAGAGCGGACACAATTTGTTACGGACGGACGGACAGACGGACGGACAGATGGACGGACAGACTAATCACTATAGGGCGTCCGCCGGGGCCCTAATTATAAAACAAAAGTTATCCATGAAATAAATACTGGTACAAAAAGTCAATTATCTATTTAAAGAAAAAAGTTTGATGAAGTTTTGTCAACATATTCTATGGCAGACATGCCTTCTTTTTCCTTTTCAGTGAGACAAAATTAAGTAGAAGTGCAGCTATGATTTGCTATTCATAGTTTCCTAAAATGAAATTATTTGCATACCTTTTGACATCTGCCTTGAACTCTGGTATATTGTACAACAATCCACATCTCTCGATTAGGACTGGTAATAAATGTGATACAAAATCTGTAGAGGCTTCTTCTAAAATAACCTCAAACCAAATCCTAAAAAAGATATAAACTTCAAAAAATTTTGTTGCTATCATTATGTTGATAAAAGTTTATTACAAGAAGAAAATTGGGACAATCCATGTAAGACAATAAACTATCTGAAAGGAACATGCAAGTAATTCTAGGTTTTAACTAGAACATACATTCAGTGGAACTTATATACCACCTGCCTTAAGCTTTAGTAAACCCAAAGTAAAATAAAATGTTGTGTGCTTACATGATATCAATTATCTATAAGGTGTGACCTTCACATTTTAGGTTTGAATTTTGTAAAGGTCCAAAAGCATAATTGGGTATAATTTAATAAAATTTTGAATCTAGTAAATTAGTACAAAGATACAACCATGAAATTATTTAAGCATGTTTACTTTTTAATAGCAAAAAATTACCTTTCCAGATATAACCTTGGGTTAAGATCTCGAAACATGCTTTAGCAATGGGCAACAATTGTGTAAGTTTTACTATAATATAAGCAGACAGTAGAAAATATGGGTCTGACACTGCATCAAAATAGATGCAAGCTGTGACCTTGACCTTCAAATTATATGATCTGCGATCAAGATAATGACCGATGGCTTGGTAAGGAGCAACAATTATGAGATGTAATCTAAGTGTGCAATACAAAAGTACGGCTAGCACAATACACAATTTCTCATTTTTTCACATTCTATATAGCCATAATATTCTCAGTTATTCGTGTCATAACAGAAATTCCATTTCAGTACAGTATATTTACCTTAATAGTGCTGGGACAACCTGAGAACAGACAACAACACGTGGATGACGACAATAATCTTCTAATATCTTGTGAAATGCTGCTAATCTATAAAATATTTTAAAAAACATTTATACTGTATAGATCATAAAAGGGAGAATAGTGTTTGTACTAATATTGAGCATACCCTCTTGTAATAAAGATTATTAGTATTATTATTATTATTATAGATCCTACACTGTATTCAATTTTATTAAATAAATCTAAAAAATAAATAAAAAATAGAATTACTTTCGAGGACATCATTGCACAATATTCAGTTGGCACTTAATACTAAAGTCTCAGGATTTTTTCTGATAAGTATAATAGGTTTTTCAGGTTTTCTACACATTGATATTGTAAAATATCAGCCATGAGCTACATGTGAACCTTGTTGGGCAAGTGCGCGTAGAAAACGAGCAAAAAAAGATTCACATTGTGTCAAGCAGCTGAAATTTTAAGATATCTATATGCAGAAAATTTGATATTCTGTTCATCATGCTTTTTCTGGTTCTTTTCCCTCCTTTGTACAGTTTTACACTTGACGAAAGTAAGCTTGATAACTTCTCACACATTGTGATGTTGCTGATAACTTCTCCTCTGACATTGTTATGTCACTGATAATTTCTGCTTACGTCTGAGAGCCGTGATATGAGAATTACTGAATGACTGAGTAGCATGATAAAGGCAAAAGGAAGGACAATAATATAAAATATGTTTTTATAAGGGCATTTTTGTACTTTTATAATTAACAAAGTTAACGGTATTATCAAACACCCCTTTGTTAATTTATAACATACAAAAATGCACTTATAAATACAAATGTGTTTAATGCTTTGCTATTCTGCTGTGAAAGTTATCTGTGATTTTAAGGAGGACCATGATCATTTTTGCACAGCATTACTATATTCTTTGAACAGGTGTCAAGAAAAGCTGTTTATATATATTTAATATAGGGTTAAATCTAATTTAAGTAGTAGCAATTACACAGATCCAGTGTAAACAATCACAATTTTTTGGCAGTGTGAGATCATCCATGCATAATTCTACTCCAGTCTATGAAGTGAAGCAGTTGTCTTCTTGAATTCTTACAGAGTTCCATAAATAACACAGGTTATAGGTTTTTATCAGGGTGTCTTCTATCTTGGATCCCATACATGCATAAAAAATTACAGCCGATTTCATTGAGTGTGTAGGAATAGGTATTATCTTTGGTTAGCTTGCTTGCTAGCTGAACCATGAAGTCATTATTAGGTTAGGTAAACTACCCTCCTTTATGAGTAGACTAGTCCTACAGATAACCAATTCTATCTGTCTGTCAGACTAGTCTACTCATAAAGGAGGGTAGTTTACCTAACCTAATAATGACTTCACGGTTCAGCTAGCAAGCAAGCTAACCAAAGATTTTACCTTTTTCTACACACTCAATGAAATCGGCTGTAACATTTTCATGAACCTACCATTGGGATTTATTTAGGACCATCATGATAGCATTCTATAAGCATTATATTACTCTAGTCTGAGGAACAAATTCCAAGTAAAAATTGTCTATATATGTTACAATAACTTCCACTAAGGTGGCCAACTTGCATTTCATTTCAGGCAGTCATCAAAATCAACAATTTATGTAGGACTGTACTGTAAATTCAGAAATGATTGAGTGCATTTATTTTTGGGATTTTTGAAGAATTGACAAAAATGTGTGAATAATTAATGCGATTTCAGGAAAATCTTCATATAGCTATAGGTATCGTATTCACGAATGCGAGTTCTTATTATTGCGATTCTCATCCATTCGCATTAATAAAAACCTCACAATAATTTCTGAATTCACAGTATATCATCTTCAAATCTTTAAACAAACAACTAATTATCTACTTTCAAAACCAATTTACAAAAGAACAAAAATACTAAAGTATAAGACAAGATATAAATAAATAAATCATAAATTTTGATTAATTGATTGATTGTTGGTGTTTAACGCTACTTTCAACACTATTGGCTACATTGTGGCGACCAGTTTTTATTGGTGGAGGAAGCTAGATGAATGAACGATGTAAGGAAATGAAAAAACTTTCCCTTAGGGTCAGATAAGCTAATAAAATGCTCCGCTGGATGCAGCTTGATACGATCCGCAGAGGTCGAACCCTGACCAGTTTGGGCAAGTATGGACACAACATTCAAGCTTGATACAGCTCAGAATTTGAATTGTGATTAAATATTTGAAACAGTATAGGTTTTGGACACAGAATGAATGTGGTCAAAGAACTGAAAAAATTGATATTGGACTTTTACCTGTTATGGTCCAATATCCAAAATCTTAATGCACAGTTAGATTCAGCATATCCAAGTACACCAAGAATTTATTTATTTATTTATTAATGGACAATATAAGCTGTTTTTAAAGGGGTTTGCTTCATAAAAAAAAAAAATGTATATAGCATTCTTAAAAATAAATTATACAGAATAACAAACAAACCATGAAGTACTTCAAAAACCTTTACAAAAAAAATGAAAAAAAAAAAACAATTTCCAAAATATCATTCCTCATTAATACAAAGTATTTAAAAAATCTATAAACTAACCTATAATTATTTTTCAAAATATCTAATAATGAACAGTAAATTTCAAACTACATTTATACATAATTTCTTCTTTAAAATTAGATTTGATGCTGCATCTATTTTTAACTATGGCTCTACTTACAATTTCTATTAATTGTGCACTACAGCTCTGAATTTTGATTGTGATTAAATATTTGACATAGCATAGTTTCTCACATAGAATGAATGTGGTCTAAGAACTTAAAAATTTGAAATTGGACATTTACCTATTATGGTCCAATATCCAAAATCTAAATACATGGTTAGAATCAATCCAAACTTACCCTTTGAAGTATGGAACCTTGTGGTAAAATTTCATAGAAATCTATACTCTTATACACAAATTATTGTCCTGAAACATGAAAATTTTTTGTTTTTGGTCCCTTTTTGGCCACTGATTACTAAACAGCTACGACAATAACCCCCAAAATAAATCCCAACCTTCCTATTGTGGTATGGAACCTTGTGCTAAAATTAAATAGAGATCCATACACTTATACGCAAGTTATTGTCTGTGAACCAGACAAATAATTGTTTTGTTAGGCTCTTTTTGGCCCCTAATTCCTAAACAGCTATGACAATAACCCCCAAAATTAATCCCAACCTTCCTATTGTGGTGTGAAACCTTGTGCTAAAATTTAATAGAGATATATACACTTATACTCAAGTTATTGTCTTAAAACCAGAAAATAATTTTTTTTGGCCCCTTTCTGGCCCCTAATTACAAAACAACTATGACAATAACCCCCCAAAATCAATCCCAACCCTCCTATTGTCCTATGGAACCTTGTGCTAAAATTTCATACAGATCCATACACTTATACTAAAGTTATTGTCTGCGAACCAATTTATTTTCTATGAACCAGTAAAACTGATCTTTTATAGCCCCTAATTTCAAAACAACTTGAACAATACCCCCCAAAAACAATACCAACCATCCTTTAGTGGTATGGAACCTTGTGCTAAAATTTCTTAGAGATCCATACACTTATACTCAAGTTATTGTCCGTGAACCAAAATGTCTTCGGACGCCGATGCAGACATCGCCATAACATAATATGGATGCCAAAACCAATATTATAGATACATAAATTCCACTGTGGTTGTCATCTTGGTTTTCAGACAGATATTCATAGTAAATATGATAAAGAATTGTTCAGACTTGTCACTTAATCTTACATGAGAAAATAACACTAACTATATACGAGAACTTCTGCTATGCATAAGCAGTAAAAATTTCAGAAGCATAGTTAAGAAGCAAATACAAATTTTCAAGAAGATAAAAATTCATTTTACTAGTGTAAGCATAAACTGTGATTTTTTTTGTAATCGTCTCAAACCACATCAAACGCATGAAACAGTAAATAAACATAGAAACATGATATTTAACAGATAAGGAAAGATTGCTGATAGACTGCTACACCAAAAGCTCATTCATTGAAAAGTTACTGATATATCTAGACTTGTTTCAGTTAAAAACAAAATATATCAAAAATAGAATTTTTTATTAAATTTCTGACAAACCCAGATTCACATTCCTCTAATTTATCTTTCTTCAGCTGTGGTTTAATTAAATATCTAAAATAAGTGAGTGTAACAATTACAGCTTCTTTAAAAAAAATACCATGTAAGTGAATAAAGCAATATCACAAGTTTCTGAAGAATATGTTTAAAAGCTGTATATATACATAGTATAATGGAATCTCACACCATTAACTTACAATAACATTCCAAAAGTTATATACAGTGTATATGCAGAATCAGTTGATCTTATCCATTACAGTTCATGAGATTATGAATTTCCAAGGTCCTTCAGTTGAACTTTACTTTATTAAAGTCAACTAAAAAAACCTTTAAAATATGTTTTCTATTTTTATGGCCCCGCTACAAAACGGTTGAGGCCATATAGTCTTACCCTTATCCGTTATTCTGTCATTCCGCAACGAACAATTATACCGACTTTTTTTCCAAACGCCTTTGCATATTGAGCTTTTTTTAAGTATTTAGTTCGGCTCTGCTGATGTTTGCCGAAATTACAGGCTATGAAGATATGAAAGCATACTGTCATAAGTTTCAGTTACCAGCATATGAAATGCACTAGTGTAGTTCTTCTTTACACTTGTATGTTTTTTATGTTGAAAATGATAACCTAGGGAAAATATGCCATGGATTTATAATGCTAGTGTTTTCCTTCCAAAAGGAAAGTGTGCACTGTTGGAAAAAATTTACTCACATAACTGTAATTAATTTGTTGATGTTTTGTTACTTTATGAGTAAACAATCGTGAATATTTTCATTAAAAGTAATGCTAAAAGAATCTAAAATTCATTAGAAATCTAACAGTTTTCAATGATGAAGATCTGTTAAAGATGAATGTCTTATAGACAATGTTAAGACAAAATACAATTAGAATTTCCACAAAATAATCTAACCTGTTGATAGTATCACCCTGACCTCCTTCACTTCTGGTAAAGAATAGAAACATGGGTCTATAGAATGGATGTTGGTATGCTTCCATAGAACTATTAGGTTCTGTCTCTGGTACCGTAGCAACATCTTCAGTATTACATTTCTCTATCACATCCAGACAGATAGTTATACAGGGTAAGTCTAATAGGATGTGGAATATCTACAACACAAAATGTTTTAGTGTAATAGGATGTGAAATATCTCAACACTAAAAGTTTTAGTGTAACAGGATGTGAAATACAATGTATCTACACCACAAAAAGTTTTAGTCTAACAGGATGTGAAATTTCTACAACAACAAAAGTTTTAGTCTAACAGGATGTGAAATATCTACAACACTTCAAAGTTTTAGTCTAATAGGATGTGAAATATCTACAACAACAAAAGTTTGAGTGTAACAGGATGTGAAATATCTACAACACTTCTAAGTTTTAGTCTAATAGGTTGTGAAATATTTACAACACTTCAAAGTTTTAGTCTAACAGGATGTGTAATATCTACAACAATAAAAGTTTTAGTCTAATAGGATGTGAAATATCAACAACACTTCAAAGTTTTAGTTTAATAGGATGTGAAATATCTACAACACTTCAAAGTTTTAGTCTAATAGGATGTGAAATATCTACAACAACAAAAGTTTTAGTCTAATAGGATGTGAAATATCTACAACACATTATGTACAGAGAATTGTGCCCAAATGTCTATTGATACCATGATATAAGTCTAACCAGATGCCATAAACCTGACTCTATTTACAATACAAATAATAATTTAATGCATATTACTTAAAATATTTCAACATTGAATGAATTTGCACAAAATAATAAAAAGTAATACATTAGTATCCTTTGTTAGTTATTAAGTAGAAAACTAGAGGCTCTCAAGAGCCTGTGTCGCTCACCTGATTCTACTTTGGTTTTGGAAATCATGTAAAAATAGATTTAAATCATAACAGATACCCTAATAATGAGTGAGGCCAAATTTGGTTTAATATTGGTCCTGTAATTTAATAAAAAATCCTGGTGGCCATCTTGAACAGTAAATCGGCAACAAAGTAGCAACACTTAATCAGCACCTCATAAGAAACATTTATGCCATGTTTTGGTTTCATTCCATTCAGTGGTTCTCTAAAAGAAGACATTTGTATGTATTTCCCATAGGGTCCTATGTTAAACTAAGTCCCCCGCTGGCGGCCATCTTGGATGATGGATCATCTACAAAGTAACAACACTTGGTCAGCACCTCATAAGGAACATTCATGCCATGTTTGGTTTCATTCCATTCAGTGGTTCTCTAGAAGAAGTTCAAAATGTAAAAAGTTAACGCCGACGATGGACGACACCGGACGACAGAAGCCAAGTGATGAGAAAAGCTCACTTGGCCCTTCGGGCCAGGTGAGCTAAAAAAGGTCAAACAAAATTTTCAGTAAGAATATCATAATATAATGATCATGCCACTGATATACCATACAATGTGAATTCATTTATTTTCTTGGGAACCAATTTTCAAGGTTTGAGGAAAAATTGTATTTTCCTTGATATCTGATTTTGTGGATTTGATTTAAGTCTATATACAAGCCTATAGAAAATTTACACTAACATTTTTATTTGTGAAAATTGGTACACCACAAATTATAATGAATCCAGTGTACAAAACATGTACAAAAGTTATAACTATAAACAAGTGAAATCTGAAATCGAGTCATCACATCATCATAATTATACCAAATCTGCTTCCAATGTTTTCTTCTGTCATTATTTGTTTGTTATATGCATAATTCTTGCAAGTTGTAGTCTGTACCTAACTTATCTCTCCTTGGTTGTAGTCTGTTATTAACTTATATCTCCTTAGTTGTGGTTTGTTGTTCAAAACAAATCTCTGTCAAAATATGTCCCAAATGGACAAAAAACATTATACAACTTTGGGAGTTCAAATTTTAAAAGATAGAAAATATTTACCTCTACTGAAGATGTAGGGGACATCAAAGCTGGTAATATTTCACAAAACTCTGATACAAATGACCTTGGATTCCATGCTAAAATCTACAATAATACTACATTTTAAAAACCTGGAAATGTCCAGAGATATTTGTTCAGAGCAACACACTTTTGTCATTTAAGAAGCGGTTTCTATGTAAAAGTGTCATTTTTTAGGTTTTTATATATCATATCTATCATCAAACAATGGACATAGATTCAAATGAAGACCATTCTTTTCCACATTTCAAAGCATATCAATCATTACAATCAAAGACAATCAACTCCTCTGCTATTACCATGAAACTTATTGGTATCAATCTCAACCAACATAATCTATGTGTATGTACATTTGACACCTCTAAGATGAGTGCAAATTATTCACATCACAAACTTCACCATCCCCATTAAAATCTAACTTTTTTAAAAAAACTTTCAAAAAAGCAACAACAAAAAAAGATCTGTGGTGACAAATATTTTAATAAAATTGTAAACATTTACCTTGAATATATTAGGAAAATGATTACTAAGTATGGTACTATCTTCACACAATGTTTCCAGGTTATCCAAGATAAACATTACAGTCTCAAAGGCTATAGCTGTGTCTGTGAAACCCCAGGATAACGATTTGTGAAAATACTGTTTGAATACATCATGTGGGTCATGTGCTACTGTCCTACCTTTAAGCAAAAGTACAAATATCAACACAAGACATGTCAATTAACAGCATATTATCTAATATCAGATGAAAAATATACCATCCACATTACCATGTAACAGAGTATATACTGCAACTGTGCTATTTGAGCAGTCACATTGCAAGGATCGTATAATCATTTGTGATATACAGTCACTGACCGTATATCACCTTATTTATGACGTTGACAATGTGTTTCCATAGAGTTTTATTAATGACGTCATTAAAAGGTTCAGGTTCGCGGAATTTTTAAGTCGTTCGCTCCAAATTAAAAAATGATGGTTTTAACCCTTAATATTTCATTTGGAACAGTTGTAGGAGTTACAGTATACGCTTTCTACCTGTTTCTAAGCCTTGTACAAATAAAATTTATATTTCGAGACAATGTATGGTTATTCTATATACATGTGGTAAAGTCATGGTATACATTCACTTTGTAAATGCAGTTCAATAAAATAAAGTGATTTGATATCATTCACATTTCATGTGGTCAGATATTTGGCCATAATATGTATCCGATAACATTATTCAAGTATATGATCCCCTTTCATAAGATTTAAATGTTTAAAATGTTACACATACCATGCAGATAAAAAAAATCAAACAAGAATGTGTCCATAGTACACGGATGCCGCACTCGCACTATGATTTTTTATGTTCAGTGGACCGTGAAATTTGGGTCAAAACTCTAATTTGGCATTAAAATTAGAGAGATCATATCATAGGAAACATGTGTACTAAGTTTCAAGTTGATTGGACTTCAACTTCATCAAAAACTACCTTGACCAAAAACTTTAACCTGAAGTGGGACAGACGGACGAACGGACGTACGGACGCACAGACCGAAAAGCATAATGCCTCTAGGTGGGGCATAAAAATAATTAAATATGAATATTTCAAAAACTCAAGTTTTTTTCATCTCACATAAGATATCCTATTCTCATAAATAGAATACAAATTATAAAGTTTGTTTTTTTTAATTTCGAATCAATATCATCTATTTAAAAGTAGACACTTTTATTTATATAAAGGTCAACAATAGACTACTGTTTTTTTAAGAAAGAATTGCTTTATCAGGTATGACGAAGTAGCAGCTAACCTGACAGTCTGAGGTAGGTTGTATCACCTAGGTAATAAACTATTAAAATACATGCTTTGTTTTGGGAAAACTGTATCACAGTGGTAAATTAGGACTAGTATACATACTATGGTTCAGGAAAAACTGTAAGACAGGTATCATTAGCCTTGTTTTACTGAGGTCCTGGGACAACCTATTATGTTGTCTACGTATCTCCTGGTATACTCTGGCTACCTGTCCTTCATCTATTTTACATACCAAATCTAATAGATTTATAGTTTCTAGCAAACACTATGAAAAAATAAAAACATTCAAATGTTACTGTACATAATACTTTAAATCAGTTCTGATATGGGGCCAACAAAATTCATAAAAAAATCAAATATTTTTACATAATGCATCTTGGACTTAGAGACTTACAAATATAATTGTTAAGACCATATGGAGAAGTATTTTGGATGGCATAAATTTATAAGTTTTTCCATTAAACAATTTTTACAAGGTCAGTTTGCCTGATTTTAAGGGGATTGGTTGTCAATTCAGAAGTAAAATAAGTATCATGGAAGTAAGTAAGTAAGTAGTAAGTAAGTAAATTATTTATTATAGTGACATGTGTAAATACGTACAGATTATAAACATATAATATATGATAAATATTAATACACCCGGCCCAATGGACCTATAAGTCACCTCAAATGAAATTAAATAATTATAAAACAATTATATCACGTTCTTGAAAATAACAAATTGAAGTAAGTAATGAATATGTAATTTGATAATTTATTTCTAAACTATGTCAGTATATTTGTGTATGAATTGATATTTTTGGACCAAAAGTCTACAAATACTGGCATAAATTCTACAAAAAAAAATTAACATTTAAATGTTTATATAGGATTTGGAAAAAAGTCTTGAATTAAATTTCTTTTGAAGACATTGTGTCATTTGCAGATTCTTTTAGCATTACATGAATTCCCATATGAAATATGCAGAAGTTGCTTCAAGCTGAAAATCAAGGGTGGTCCATATCATCTCCATGGAAATGACATGTATTTATTCTAATAAAACTGCCTCCCAGATATTATTGACTTATCATTAGTGGTTCCCATTGAACTTAACTAATTACAAACTGAACAAATTGTTTATGCTGCTGTTACAGACGTCTGAAACAGCATACTTAGTCTTGCGTCTGCAACCTCGTTGAGGCGAGACAAAAATCTACATAAAATCTAATAACCAAATTTTCTTAAAAAAAAACTTTTAGTAGTAACAGTAGTAATGACAAAAATTGTTCCTGTATTAAGATACTCACACTATTCTGAAGTTCAACATCAGATGGAATCTTTGGTTCTGTAAACAAATATGTTTTTTTACATTACAAATGTTACTATTTTTTACAAATTGTAATCTATCAACTTTTTCGGGGTTCATTCAGTTTAAGAGAATATTTAAAAAAGATAATTGTCTGAGAAACCCATACAAACGTTTGAGTATGTTACAAATTAAAATATTTATCCAATCAAAAACGGTTTTTCAGTTTGATTTTATTTCCCTTAGAAATATGCTTCTCTCATGTAACCTGGTCTTATGAATCTATTAATTCTCAGATTGAAACTGACAGAAACTTCATATTTAATAAAGTATTCTAATATGACGTGCTTCTTTCGCTTTGTAAACAACACCGTGATAAAATTCTCGATATATCTATACTTAGCGCAGACTCAGAGATATACATAATAATGGATGCTAAAATATACCTCCCTCGTAAAGCCATATGTATTGGAACCTATTTGCAAATGCTATGCCGATTTTATTGTTTTAAAAATTGCAATTGAAAAGAAGACTACAGAACTTTTATTTTTATTCGGATGCATAACAAAAAGATTTAATGCACAAGAGCTCGGAGAAATCTACAAAATCAAAATAAAATAAAATTCTGCAAAAGTCCATTAATGCTTTTGGTGCATTTAAATCATTTCAAAACATGACGTCATACAAACGAAAATGCTAAAGCTGAAGGTTTTTCCGTAACGTGAACCATCGAAATTCGTAAAATATTACATTAAAATGGATTTTTGAGGTAGGTGTTGTTTTATTTTCTATTCTTATTGCATTATTCACATATTTACTGATTTCAGCAAGTCAACATGGCGGCTCCTTAGTTACGAAATGTCAACTTTGGATTTGACGGTAGCTTACGAAAAAAACATGTAAATTAAAAATGGCAAATGTTGGGTTTGAGAATTAAAAGAATTAAGCACATTTTTTTCTAGCGGTTGTTTACGAAATAATTCGTGCAAGCTACAGATTTATTAGAATGTTTTAGCTTCATCTAACAGGGAGTAAAAAAGAACAGCCACACACACGGCATACGGCCCACCCTTGCTTCAGTTTTTAATGACCGTATTTATCCTATTAGAATCGAAATAATTCAAGTTAACCTTTCTGTAACCCCACAATAACCTCATTTATTGTACTTCAGTGTTTGTTTCTATTTCTATATGTCCTGAATCTCAGTTGCGAAACATGTCGACCACAATAAAGAATTTCCTTGCCAGGATGTTGTTGTCTTTTAATAGTTACTATTAAGCACTAAATACATAATTAATAAATCATGCAACTCTATAGTCAATTGAAGCAGAAAATGGATATCCATGCCCTCCTTAAGTATAACATTTAGTAATACTTGTTTCTCTATGCACTTACTTCTTTCACATTGGTCTAATATTCTAAAACAGTAATCAATAGTTTTTCCAACCAGATTATGAAATATTGACTTGACCGTCTCTCTCCCTTCTTCTTCTTTAGAGCAATTGTAAATCCATTTATATAGAGTTGAAAAACAGAAAATGTTCATCATCTGATCCTCTGTGTAATACTGGCCTATATTTAAAAGAAAAATCTCTGTAAAGAATAATCACTGAAAATAAATGGCTGATTGAATGCTTTTAATGCAGGATTTATGGGGGAATTTTTTTTAATGTACTATATACATCTTTACCATGTTTACTTAGAACTGGTTTCCTTATAATGTTATTTCTTAGAACTGGTAGCCTCTAATATTATTTTATTACAAAAGTAAACCAGATTTACAAACTTTTTCTTAGAAGATAACCTATCACTATTGTCCAATTACATCTTTTTCCTGTACTTTCGATTGACCAACTATTGTAAGTTACTTAGATGTCAGTATCATTAAGTGGATTTTTTTTTACCTGGAATGCCCCTGAAATATTTTAAAGAAGTTTTTGCATCAAATTGATTATCTAATTTTAAAGGAAGATAATGTATTCAGTATTAACTTTGACAGATAAAGGGGTCCCAGTAGGACACCTCCCTTAGGTCACAAGGGCACATTTAAATTGCCTCAGGTCAACAAGACACTTTCAAGAAAATGTAAGATAGTTGGTTTTAAACATTTTTAAAAGCCACAGGTCATTTTAAATGAGACATTAGGTTGCAAGATAGCCTGCCAAACCCTTCAAGGTCACAAGTCAGATTTGACCATGTTAGATCCACATTATGGGTGTAGATGAGCTTACATGACTCTATAGATCAGGAAAGAATAAATATACTGTAAGTTTTACATCTTTTACCTATATTTAATACTGTGAATATGTTTCTACTAGGTGTTCCATCTACCTCTGTAACCATGGTTTGTTCTTTTTTAAATGGATTAATGGTGTATGGATTTGGTGCTTGTTTTAAACTAGCTTTCACCAAAACATCACAGACATAGGCATTCACACTCTCAATTTGTCCTGAAAGTAACATAGAAATAACTATTGGATATGGTTAAAAAGTTTATGACAAAAGTGCAACAATCTATGAATACATGTGTGCGAAAGACAGAGATAAGAAACAACCAATACATGATTCATGTCAGATATTCACTCTGGTAATAATATTTTTATTGGTTGTGAGCTAATCATTTCCAAATAAAGAAAATGATACAATTTTCATTAAAACTGAAAAGAAAAACATCTTTTTGATGACATAATGAAGTAATATGTTTTACTTTTATTCTTATATACAGTTGACTATAGCCAACACACCAACACTAAATAGTCTCATTTTATTTCACAAAAGTTCACCAAAATATCTGCCTACCTTTCTGTAACATTGATTGATGCTCTAGAGATATAGCTATTAGGAATGACAACAATTTACTCTGCACATCAAATTCTATATTCTGTGATGACAGCCATCTGTACAAAAATTAAAAAATAAAAGGCTATGCTGAGTACACTGAGATATATCTAATAGCCAATCTACCAAAGTATTAAATGAATAGTGCTGTTACTCCTGTTCTTTTCTTATTAGAGGCCTTGTGGCCCTGAAAACATAAGAGCCTTTGCAAAATTATCTGACAACAATACCAAAAGGTTTTGTCAAGAGAAAGGCAAAGAAAAAGATTCTATTCAAATTTTGATAAAATACTTCGCTGAGCGCAGCCTGATACGACCGCAGTTGGGGAAGTTTGGACACAATATTCAAGCTTGATACTGTCTGAATTTGGATTGTGATCAAATTTTTTGACATAATACAGGTTTCTGACACAAAATAAATGTGGTCAAAGATCTTAAAAATTTGAAATGGGACATTTAATTTACCTAGAATGGTCTGATATCTAAAATTTAACAACATGGTTAGATTCAGCATATAAAAAAACCCCAAAAATTTAATTTTAGTTGAAATTAAACAAAGTTTGTAAGGGAGGTAACTATAATGCAAAAAAAAAACCCAAAGAAAGAATAACCAATTCGGAGTATAAAATTTATTACCACTGAACCCTTTGATATACACTATTATAATATTATATGTATTTAAATCACAGTATTTGATGTTTCTAGAAACAGCTAAAAAATATTTAATACTAGAACTAGCAAACAAATAGCAAAAAGTACCAACATAAAGAAACAAAGCTAAAGTAATAGTCCATTAACCAGGAACTCCTTGTTTTTCCCCCTTTTTTGCCCCTAATTCATAAACAGACTGAGCCATAACCCCCAAAGCCAATCCTAGCCATCCCTTTGTGGTGTGGAAACTTGTGGTACAATTTCAGACAATTCCTTACACTGTTCCACAAGTTATTGTCTGGAAACTAGAAAAAGGCTTATGTGGGCCCCTTTTTTACCCCTAATTCCTAAACCATAAGAACCATAACCCCCATAATCAATCCCAGCCTTCCTTTTGTGGTTTCAAACCTTGTGTTTAAATTTCATAGATTTATATTTACTTATACTAAAGTCATTGTCAAATTTCCAATGGAGTTTGCAACCATAATAACCCATTTAAATACATCATAAAAGTCTTAAAATAGAAAATGACATACATTCTCATGGCTAAAATTTAATTACCTTGCATTTTTAAAATAGTAACTTCCAAAAATAAATTGACAGCTAATCACCTCAAGAAAATACAACATTTCTTTATTCATAATTTAAAAGCAGTTTAAGGGAGGTAATTCAAACACATTGTCAATGTTGTGTTTGAATTACCTCCCTTAAACTGCTTTTAAATTATATTCTGTACTTAAGTAATTGCCCATTAACCTGGAAACCCGTGTTTTTCCCCCTTTTTTGCCCCTAATTCCTAAACAGTTTGAGCCATAACCCCCCAAAGCAAATTCTGACCATCCCTTTGTGGTACGGAAACTTGTGGTATAGTTTCAGACAATTCCATACACTGTTCCACAAGTTATTGTCTGGAAACTAGAAAAATACTTATTTGGGCCCCTTTTTGGCCCCTAATTCATAAACTGTTGGGACCATAACCCCCAAAATCAATCCCAACCTTCCTTTTGTGGTCATAAACCTTGTGTGACTGATAAAAGCTGCATACTTGAACTTAAGCTACAAGAATTTACTTATCTTGTTGACAGCTATTCTAATGGTACAAAAACAAAATAGATTTTTCTTAAAATCCTTATCTATGCAATGTATAACAAATAAATGGGGAATGTGTCCATGGGACACAGATGATCCCCCACTTCCATATAACGTCATAAAGGGACATAACTCAAGAACTGTAAAAGTGATGTTACCCAAATTTGTACTTGATCTGAGTTTTGTGGTAATAAGCATTGTGTATACGTTTCATAACATTTAGTTGAGGCAAACTTAAGTTAGAGAACAGAAACGTATTATTCAGCAATTTTTCTATTTGTAAAGGACATAACTCTAGAACTGTAAAAGTGACGCCACCAAAATTCAAACTGGATCTGTGTTTTGTGGTAACTAGCATTGTGCATAAGTTTCATAACATTTGGTCGAGGCAAACTAAAGTTAGAGAATGGAAACAAATTATTCAGCAATTTTTCCATTTGTAAAGGGGCATAACTCTAGAACGGTAAAAGTGACACCATCAAAATTCAAACTGGATCTGTGTTTTGTGCTAATGAGAATGGTGTATAAGTTTTATAACATTTGGTGGAGGAAAACTAAAGTTAGAGTACAGAAACGAAAAATTCAGCAATTTTTCCATTTGTAAAGGGGCATAACTCTAGAATGGTAAAAGTGATGCTACCAAAATTCAAACTTGATCTGTGTTTTGTGGTAATAAGCATTGTGTATAAGTTTTATAACATTTGGTTGAGGCAAACTAAAGTTAGAGAACGGAAACCAATTTTGAGACGTACAAACAGACATACAGACGGACAAGGGTAAAACTTAACGGCCCGCTTCACTACGGCGGGGGCATAAAAAGCAAGGATAGATGTACCCTACATGTCAAAAACTAAAAGCAGGCCTCAAGTTATTACAACAGTATATGAGAGTAGGAAATGTTTGTCAAAATAAATGATACATTGTATTTAAATAAAACTATTACTCAAATATACCTACTTCTCAACTTTTGGTAATAAACTTGTCCAACACTTTTCTTTGTCCCCCTGTAATGAAAACATTTTTAACATTAAAAGACAATTGTTTTCAAGTTTTGACTGGATATAAGAATAGGAAGCAAACCTTTATATTCTATGGTTAAAACATACAAAATTAGAACCCCTGAAGTACAAAAAACTGGCATCTTGTATATGACGTCATAATTGTCCATTGTTGACGTTGCTATAGGATACTCTATATCATTATGTAATATTGAACAGAAAATGAATCAAACATAGTACAATGCAAATGAAGTTACTAAATTCAGAGTTAATCTATAATTGTTCTAATTGTCTTTACCTTAAAAATGGTTGTAAACTATTCTAATGGTAAGTGTATAAATAAAATGTGTTTTTAAATAAAATTATTGTTTAACATGAATGTAAGTGCAATGTCAGTGTACAGTTTGTATAAAGTTTCTTCCTAATTTGGACAACACTTTTAGGGCACACCCGTACCACTTCGACTGGCTTCCCTTTGGCCAGAGGTACTACTTCCAATCGCGTCAGGAATGCCGTAAAGTGGTTTACTGTCGCAAAATTTCTTGGCAATGTTGGTTTAACTGGAAATGGTGTTAAGAAGGATTTATGTTCGTTGTATCTTACTTCTTTTAATTTTAATTTTCTGTAGGTTCTTAATAGTACTGGAAATCTATCTTGGCTTTTTTGTGTCATCTCCATTTACTCTTGAAAGATCCTTTTTATGGTTTCACACTTAAACAATTTTACATTTAATTTTTTTGATGGCACGGAATGATGGTACATATAAATCTTGATATATTGGCAGTCCTGTTTTAGGAATGTAATCCTCTGTTTATTCTTCATACAATTTTCCTTTTGTTTGGTGGTTTTTCAGCAGTTATTAATGGTATCAGTTGTTTGTTGGCTTCTTGGAATTCTTCGTTCTTGCTTGGTGTAGAGATGGCCATGGGGTCGGCGCTGTGTGGTATAGGCGGATCCGGGGATGCAGGGGTTCAGCCGGAATATCAAAAAATAGATAAAGAGCTGCTGAACCAACGCCTCCTATGTTTTGTGCTGGTAGAGTTCCCTTAAGTGGATACCAGATGGTATGCAGGGTTGTCATTTTAAAATTCAAATACCGCTACATTGACAACAACACTTAAGTAAACTACATCTTTTATTGTCGACATGTTTCGCCGATTAGATCGGCGTCATCAGGACAAAATATACAAAATTAGAACCCCTGAAGTACAAAAAACTGGCATCTTGTAGTTTTTTTGGGTTCTAATTTTGTATATTTTGTCCTGATGACGCCGATCTAATCGGCGAAACATGTCGACAATAAAAGATGTAGTTTACTTAAGTGTTGTTGTCAATGTAGCGGTATTTGAATTTTAAACTGACAACCCTGCATACCATCTGGTATCCACTTAAGGGAACTCTACCAGCACAAAACATAGGAGGCGTTGGTTCAGCAGCTCTTTATTTATTCTATGGTTAAAAGATAATTCAAAATTAGCCCCTTATTATAAAAAGATAACCATTTGCAGTCACCTGAATTAAATATATCAGTGAACAGTTGGCAGCCTCTTTTGGATTATTTTTTATTCCTGTTTCCATCCCTAAATCTTTCTCATCACAAGGTAGTATTTCTGTCAGAATTTTTTGACACAGTAGACATTCTTTGGTTTTTCCAGGGTCCATGGCTTCCACCATATTTACCATAGTTCCTACCAGATTACTTGTCAAACTGAAAAAAATATATTTCTATTTTATTTCATGCACTCATAATCATTTTGAACCTTCTTTTTTTTTTAAACCCACAGCTTCTTTATAATCATAATGTTGTTGGCAATATTCTAAGTGATTCAGTAACACATGGTAAATGAATTGCTATTTGCAGGTTTAGATAAGAGAGTAAAAAAACATTAATACTGAAATAAATGATAAAGTGTTAATGCAGTTAAAGGAAAATTTATTCTTGTATTTGATTGTAGAAATAATGGTTTTCTTAGAAATGATTAATTGTATTCCTTTATTTGCTGCTGTATAAAATGGAGAGATCTGAATTATACATGAGCTCGATAAAATAAAGTTGAATTTAAACGATTGATTGATTGATGTTTGCTTATCATCCAGTGGCAAATATTTCATATAAAAATAAGGAGATGTGGTATGATTGCCAATGAGACAACTCTCCACTAAAGTTCAAATGAAGTGGATGTAAGCATGCATGTTCAAGACAATTGAATTTAAACCACCTTATTGGCTGAATGTTGTAGGTAAATTAAAAATACCCTTATTAAATCCTTGCTTTACAATCAAAACAAGTTGTTTTCACAGTATCTTATCCCTGAGTACTTACCATGGTTGTATTGAAGATGCATGAATGATAAGATATAGTTTTCTGAGCTGGTTCATACATTCTGCTGACTTCTCAGGATCATATAAATTCTCTAAAATACCACTGCATATTCTGTCTATATCTTCTTGAGATGTATCTCTGGGGAATACAAAATTTAAATAAGTAATGAAACATGCTACCTTTAATCAAGATATAGGGTTAGTCAAAAAGTAAATTCCACATCTATTGTGAAAAGGGTTTTCAAAATAAGTGGTTAGGATATAAAATTTCATACAGCTTAGTTACTTCAAAACATGTACCTACAATAAGGTTTGCATTACCAGGAAACAAAGTTTGTATAAATGAGAAATTTAATTGTATGTCACAATATGTTATTGTGGTACAATCGTCAAAATATGGTAAAGGTCTCATACATTTGTAACTCCAATAAAAATGGTCAAATCAAAATGACAGTATAATATGGTCAACTACACGTGATTGAAAATAATCCTACCAAGTATGAGAACTTTCTGTAGAATAGTCTCAGGAGTTGCCTTCACAATGTTACACTATTACAGTGTTCCAGCTTGGTCGTTTTCGCAGGGTGGTCCGCCCGCCCTTTCCTGACTGCTGCCCTATGCCCTTTTTCTGACGCCCTGCCCTTTTTAGCAAGTCCATGTCTTTATTGTCGCAATATTTTGATGAAAATACTACAATTCTACCTGTCTTCAAGTTTAAGACCCTCAGCTAATTAACATTTACAGCAGATGTTATAATTTGTGATTACAGGTAATCCGCTTATCGCCATCATATGGGTCATTAATCCATTAATTAAACCTCATAATTGACCATTATAATTATTTTTCCCAGTAAAAGCCGTCAGTCGGCATTTCAATTTAAATATTTCTCAAAAGACCACAATTTCAGTTTATTCATGGCAAAGATGTTTTTGTAGTTCTTCAATGGAACAAAATTGTTTTCCCTCGGACAGTTCGCAATCGCATTTTAATTTCAAAGGTCACATCTGATGTAAAAACTATTGTTGTCCACATAAAGGCAACAATTATAACAGTGTATATAATCTATAAAAAGTAATGTTTATTTATACAATGCAGTCCTGTAAATCTGCCTACTTAAGGCTTCGACCGTATGTATTTCTGCTTAATTATATACAGTCAAATTGTACATGTATCAAATTTAACATAAATTGATTCACTGACAAATCAATTTTGAGTAGTCATCTCATTTCCCAAAAAATATCTGAAATAAATTTTTAAATCAACAAAACAAGTAGGTCATCTGTGTTTTTATCGGAAATGTGTTTGTACGGTAAATCCGCCCATGTATGGAGGGCCAGTTGATCACATATTAATGAAAGGAAAAGGTGATCTATTAATAGACCACTTATAAAGGGATTCCAGACAATGCAGGAACGAGTTTTGTAAGCAATAATAGATTATCGTTAGCTTTAGGGGGGGTCTCATTGGGGGTTCTGATCCCGGATCTCGCTTACTGTTTTGTCAGATTCCCGTATCCCGCTTACACTATGTACATAAGCAATTCTCATTTTTTTTTGTAATTTCAAGTGTCCCGCTAGACTTCATTTCCCGTTTTCATGGCACAATAATTTGACTTTCACGTATCACGCTTACAAAAAATCGACAATCCCGGCCACGCTTAGACCCCAATGAGACCCACTTTAGGAACTGTATTATATATATATCACTAGATATTTTCGTAATAAAGGATTTTTCTTTAACATTTGACACACAGTAATGATAAGAACGTACAGTTCCTATGAATAAAATAGCAGACGAAATATTCACGGAAGTGACAATTACGGAAATAAATGGGAGTGTGCGGGTTTACCGGACACTACTGTATTCATGATTTATCCTACGCGATTACAGACATGAACAGCCACATTTTATCTTATTATTTTTTATCTTTCATAGCTAAAAAAACCATCAGTTAAGATATTTGTTGCACTGTTATTGGAGAAAAACCTGGATCAGATGCATAAATACAACCTGGCTTGCGCAAAAATATTTTCTATGCTGGACAGCGCCATATTTGTTGACAGGTGCTCTCTATTTTACGAACTTAATTTCTATAAAAAAAAGCGAAACTAAAATTAAAGATTATTTATTCTTATAAGCATAAATTTCATCTTTCCTGATTGAGTTTTCAGGAAAATGCTAATTTTATGTTTATTGAATAAATTTGAATGCTTTATTTCAATTTTTGGTACAACAAACTTATCTGAAAACTATTTAATTCGTTTACTAAATCATAGTTTTATTTATTTACTTTTTCAAAGCAGACGGAAGTAACGGATGAGCATGACAGCATTAGAGTAACTAATGACAACACATATCTGGCTGTGAAAAGAACTGAAGAACATGCATATGAAACACTAAATAAAAGCAACCAATAAGAGGTAAAGAATTTAATGAATTTGTGTGCATCTCATGGAAACCTTCTTTTATTTATATTTTAAATATTGGGTCGAAGCATCCTTTGTTTTAAAGTTTTAAAAATGTATAAAGTCATGCAGTCATGGTGCATGTTGTTGAAACTGTTGTGACAATAATACTGAAGTATTCAACAATCTGCTTTCGTTGTGAACAATAAAGACCAATTTAAAAACATCTTTTAGAGAATTTAAGAACATAAACAAACATTTAAGAAGGACAAATATGCCCATGGAAACAACTTTATATTGAGTACATTATTTTGTAGTTGCATGGGCTATATCATATATGAGGGTTGTAATGGCGGTACCTTAATGACGAATAACGGTAAAAAATCTTGCCAAATGATGTTAATAATAATTTCTGGTGTATGACGATAAAATGTACATTTTTCTATGACAATAAAAAAATTGACTGATTTTGACGAATCACTTTAAATACACCTTATCGCTATTTAGTCCAATCCGGAAAAAAGCAGTCATTTAGACAACTTCCTGTTTGGGTCAACAGGCCTTGAACAGATAAACAACAAAGGTCATCAGTAACGAGCTGAGGGAGGGAAAAATTTAGAAAGCGATCAATACGAAACTTTGATAGATTATGATCCACTTTTTCGAAACTCAAATTATAGTCAAAAATTATTTTGTTTGAAGTATTTACGATGTTTTAAACAGATCTCATTAAAAAGTATCATGCATGGTGCATTGTTTAAACAGGGCCCCAGATAGCTTCAACTGGATGAAAAAGTTGTGTAATTTTAGAACTTATCCGGAATGGAATAAATAGCGATTAGGTGTATTCTTTCCAAAAATAATTGTAATGGATAATTATTTGAGACCAGGGCTTCCAAAACGGTCATATATTCCGGACTTGACCGAAACTTTCATAAAAAGTCCGGCTGCTCTCAGCCTCAAACGGTCAAATAGAATTGGTTTGCCACTTTTTGTTATTCAAGGCATTTTCATAAAACGGTCATTTCAATTTTTACCAACTATCGATCGATAAAAATGTCCGTTTGGGGCTTTGGGCATGTCCGTTTGAGCATTTTAGTTTATAATTGTGGCAATCTATTTCACAAAGATATTTCGGTCATAATTGGGTTTAATAAAACAGATGCAGCATATTTCAGATACTTTGAAGTGTCTCAGTTAGTCTAATCCTCTGGGTACATAAATGTACCGCTTGGTCTTTAGCTTGTGTACATCAATAAACAGTAGAAAAAACACGTTTTCTTTTATTTAAATAACAACAAGCTGTCAAACAATTATCCCTTCAATAAGTTATATTGAAGCCATAAATCATTCACTGATTACAGGTTTGTAACCTTTGATGAGGTGTCCTTAGCTTGTCTTTATCAATAGAATTAATGATGCGTAACACTGTACATAAAGGTGATCAGGTAAACGAGGTCAAACATGTAAGCGTGTATGGAACAACATCCTATTTAATTACGCTTTATAGATATTATTTTAAATGAGCATTCAGTTTAAAAAAGTATCCTGATATTTAAAAGTTATTCTTCAAATAAGGATATTTATAAATGAATAAGTATGATATATTATTGTATTTAACACTGTACATCGTGTTAAATACTGGGGTACTCTAAAGGGGAAAATTTATTGAAATATATAGAAAAAACACCGAGAATAGCTGAGTTGTCCAATAAATAAGAGGGGGCGTTCTCTATTCTTGTTTTCATATTAAAAACTGTTTTAATAATTGAAATCATAAAGAAGAATATCCAATCATGACAATCTCCGACTGTTATAAAGACTTTGTCTCAAATTGAACTTTACAAATCTGCCATCATGGGCAAACGTAAACGTGACGATTCCGATCAAAATTCGAAATCTGCTAAAAATGCTAGAAGCTTTATTCATAAATGGTTACAACTGTTTTTATGGTTAAGATTTGACAGTATGCTAAATCAGAGACATATAATATTATATGTCTCTGGCTAAATGCCATGGTTTGTGACATTTGTCAAAAACATAAACTTAAAAATAACTTTTTGAAAGTCAGCCGTTGTAGAGCATGCTAATAGCAATGACCACGTTCAAGCTCTTAAATTAGAGACAGCTTCCAAAAGTAATCCAATTGTATCAGTATTTGAGAAAGTTCATGAAAAGACTGACAACGCAATGTGCACCTTGTTCCGTAATGCTTACTTACCAATGGACAAATTTCAGTCAATAAATGATTTAACTAAGTTAAATGGTGCCGTGATCACTTCTAAATTACATCAAGAGAACAATGCCTGCTCCGAATTTATTCAGACAATTTCCGATATTACAGAGAAAGAGGTGATGTCCGACGTAAAGTTAAGTCCCGCCGTGGGAATTATGATCGACAAGTCAACTGATCTGGCTACGCAAAAACATTTAATTTTGTACTTATCAAACCTCAAAGCTGGTGAACGGAAAATTAGTTTAAATTATTTATCAACTGAGTATGTTTTTATTTATTCTTCTTATTTTCTAAATCAGGTTGGGAAATTGTACAAAGAAAAATGTTATTACTGTTCAGTAGATTTTACACGGTTTAGAACAATATCCTTCATTGGGCCTCCTCAATGTTATCTATAAATACCGCATCAGTTGTAAAAGTCACGTGGTCAGGTAATCAATACACAAAAAGAAAAGTATCACGTGTATTGATGATCAAGTTGTACTGCAATTAAAGCCAACATCAACAGTTTCAAATAAGATACCCTTAATTTACAAAGTGTTAAGTACTCACAGAGAGAAGATAGATTATATAAACAGAAACAAAAACATGAGAACAGTCAGGTACTGAAGCTGATTGATGCAATGATGGTTACTGTATTACGATACACAGAAAAATGACACAATACCGAGGATAATATTTTATTTATTTTTAGAATGAAGAAAACAAAACAGTTATAAATAATTTTATTGCATATAACACTACTAATTATTTAGACACATATATCAATTTATGCATCCTCTCAGTTACATTTAAGTATCCAGCTGATCATTGACCGTCAAAATATTTCTTTGAAAAATGTCCGGCTGTCGTCAGGAAATTTTGGGAGCCCTGTTTGAGACCACTGCCGAAATTACGATAAGGATATGTTGACAAATCACAATTAAAATTTTAACCAATTTGAGGCTAATGGTAGCTGAAAATGACCATTTGACACCTGACGGTAAAGGGCATAAAATTCCTACCCTCCTAAAAGTTTAACTGATAAGTACCCGAAGTTTATTTGTACATGTTTGTTTTATTCATCATAATGCTTTTTGGTAATCAGATATACACAATTCCTGGATAAAAAAAATGATACTTTCCTGCAATTTATATTTATGCTTAAATGCATTGTTTATTTTACATCCCAACTGTTGTATTGGTTTTTGAATGAAATCAATATGACTAAAGGTGAACCACAAAAAGGACCCTAAATTGAACTGTGACGTAAACAGTAATTTGATTATAATCGTTTGCTGGCAACAAAAGCATGAAGGATACCAGAAGACTATCCCTCTGTGTTATCTGCACACCTGTAATTGTATAGTACATGTAGAAAGGCCTATTGCTTCAAAAATATTATACTGAAATCAATAATATAAATGATTTGATGTTGTGGGGAAAATAGTGAAGAGAGAACAATATGCCAATGCCCATGAGCAGATCATGTGTGATGATTGTATTGTCATCTATTTTTCTTGCTCAAAACTTTCCTAGTTATCCAATGGAAATATACAATAAGTGCTATATTCTTTTTTACCTTAGACTTAACAGATGACAGTACAATAATGTATGAGACCCCAAAAAATTGACATTTTTAATTCTCAATCATTTACAAATTAATTCTTACATCTTCTTTTGTTCACATTTCAATTAGATTGTCATCTCACTTCTTTTGTTCACATTTCAATTAGATTGTCATCTCGCTTTTTTGTTCACATTGCAATTAGATTGTCATCTCGCTGCACAAGTACTGATTCATGTACCTAAGAAAAACTTTAATTTTTAATTTGATCTAAAACTTTATTTATGTTGAGCTGTATATATAGTGCAATAAGCCATATCTCCTGGGCAGTTACTTGTTATTTAACAATACTTTGAATTTTATTAAACCAGCCGAGCATTACATTGATTGTCTTCTGTATTAAGGAATGCTATGAGAATTGGTCTCTATCTTTTAATGTTGAACTGTATCAATGATTTTCGGATATACTATGCAGTCTCTTTCTGTTTCATGATATTATATATTTTAAAATTTTATTGGACATTTTACCCTTTGAGCAACAACTGTTTTTGTCAATGTCCAATAATAGTTAGGTCATACCATCATAGTCTTTGGAAGACATTGTGTTCGACTTCTATTTTTTTCTAAAGTAAAGTTTATTCTTCAGAGCATAAAACAGCAAAATGGAGATACAGTATGTATACACGAAGAAAAGGTCTGAATTTGGCCGACAATGTAACTTCTCAGACAGACCAGCAGAACTTCATGTTGATATTGCACCAAATCCATCTATTGCACAGGAATATATTGAAAGAAATCCTGTGGACATTGGTATACAATGTGTCCAAGAAATGTCAGAGCATGAGGTAATATTAGTTAAGGTTATTGAAGGTCATTTAAAAAAA